TTATATGGATGAAAATATGCAAAACAGATGGATTGGAAGAAGTGGGACAATTGAATACCCACCTCGATCACCAGATTTGACGCCCTTGGATTTCTTTTTGTGGGGGTTTCTAAAAGTCAAAGTTTACAGCAGGAAACCTGAAACAATTGCTGAAATGAGAGTAGCAATTGAAGAAGAATGTGTTCAAATACGAGAGGAAATGATACTAGACGTTTGGAGGTCTATTTGTGTATTGAACAGAACGGCAATCAATTTGAGCACTTGATGTGAACTCGTCATTATATGAACATTCTGCCATCGCCCCAAGTAGCTTTTATCTTATAAAAGTTAATTTTCGATGTGTTTTTTTACTCTCAAATTCTTTAAATGTGTATTCTTTCTCTTGTATTAATCTTATTTACAAGTCAAAATACATAAATTGAATAAGTTATAACGATTCAAAGAATGTATACATTATTTTGGAACACCCTGTACATTAGTGTTCAGAAGTCATTTCTTTGTTTCTAACAAAATTTTTCAATCTCTTAATATTTTGCTTGGTTTGTGGAAGGCATCGTTTACTATTCCAGTACACTTTCGAATTTCTACGTCAAATTTTACGCCGTCTGTTACTATACTGCAAGCATGCCAGGGTGATGTAATGGATAGCATCACAGAATGAGAAATCGAAGAGTTAAGTACGAATTCTTATTCGGTGTCGTTACGTTCATCTCCGTCCCCCAAATAAGGGTTAAATAGTTGGAGTGTTACCTTGTTATTTTTAAAAATATTTTGGATGCAATATCACTCGTAAAAAAGAATTATTCTTACGTTATGGCTTTATATATAACCGTAACATTCACTTATGCGTAAATTCTATTTGGAAAAGGGAAAATTCATCTCACTTCCCCATATATGAGTTCAATACTTGGAATAGTACCTGGAAAAAATTGTTATTCTAAAAAATATGCAATATTCATTCGCAAAAAAAAAGAATTATTCTTATATTTCGGCTTTAAATAACCGACGAAGTGTTGATAAACCGTAAAAAATCAATCGATCAAACTGCAGTACGAGTTATAATACTTAATTCTGATATCTTCAATTTCTAGCTCACACTTATTGACGACTATGTATTCTGTCTTTTTATTTTTAATAGTTAGTCTTTTCATCTCGCTCTTCTTCTGAAACCTTATCTAGGAGATCTTGCAGTTTTCCTTTTGGGTCTTACGTCAACACAGTATCATCTGCATATCTTATGTTTTTAAGATTATGTTTTCCAATAATAAATCCTGATAAGTTTTCAGTTCTCTTAAGAACATTTTGTCATGAAGGTAATCTTGTGAGAAATGCTTAATTGCTTCTCTCAACTCGTTTTCTCTCCGTATTTCGGTTTGGTTTGGTTTATTTTACGGTATATCAACCTCAATGGGTTATTTAATACCGACAAGATTTTTATTGCTGGTAATATTTAAAAATATGTTTGCAGGTAATATTTTTTTCCAAAAATATATTGTTGGTAATATTTTTTTTTTCAAAAATGTATTGCTGGTTAATATTTTTTTCTTCAGAAATTCATTGCTTGTAATATTTTTTTACAAAAATATATTGATTGTACTAAAACCCACTTTTACACTTTCATAGTGTTTTGACCCCACTTTGGGGATTAACTATTTGCCCATAGCTTGGACCCTAACATCTGCTACCACCCGAGTCACGGTGGACCTGGGAACACCAGCAATTAAGAGGTGGTCCCACGCTCCTCAAAGCCTCTTCATCAGAGGCCTTGCTGTTGGATGTAGTTTATCGTCTTACCCAGGTCTCGGATGTAGTTTATCGTCTTACCCAGGACGCGGATGTTGTTTATCGTCTTACACAGGGCGCGGATGTAGTTTATCGTCTTACCCAGGACGCGGATGTAGTTTATCGTTTTACCCAGGACGCGGATGTAGTTTATCGTCTTACCCCGGACGCGGATGTAGTTTCTCGTCTTACCTAGGACGCGGATGTAGTTTCTCGTCTTACCTAGGACGTGGATGTAGTTTATCGTCTTAGCCAGGACAATCTGTATTTCGATTGGTTTCCTGTAAATGTAACGGATTCTTCTATAATTCTTATATAAATCAAATTTTATAGGTTTTTGTGTTGCACCTTATAAAACATAAATATAGCCATTTTAGCATTTATATTATTCAATCTGATAGCATTCTGATATTAAAAATAGCATTTCTTGTTCGAGTGTAATAAACAAAGCCACACCATTTCCGGTCTAATTCTGCTACGAGCACGGTTCGTTCGAATTCTGATTATAAGCTTGACTCATAAGATGTTTTTTCTGATGCACTTTGCATTCATTTGTACCTGTCGTCTTATGCAGCCCCTTTAATATGTATCTATTAAGGTCTTCCGAGGTATCACTTCTTTTGCTTACCTTGGTGAAACAGGCCGACCCCTTAAGGTAAGACTGCAAGAACATCGTAAAGCCGTAATACGAGGGTAAATAGAAAAATCAGGCGTAGCTGACCACATATGTAGGGAAAGGGAGATCACCACCCTCTGTGGGATGAGTTTGAAATAATAGAGAGAAAACATTATTGGAAAATACGAAAACTTAAGGAATCAGCACATATGCTAAGCCAGAAAAGCAAGCATAGAAATTAATATAATATGGGAACCAGTAATACGGAATGCTAGAGGAAAAAAAAAATAACAATAATATTGCAATATGAAGTCTGGTAAAAAAATGTTTGGTGGTTTATTATTCCTCAAAATTCATACACTGATGTCATAAAAGCGTTGGTTAAATTCAATGACTTGACCAAAACAGTTGTGAGTTCAATACCTGGCTAATGCAGTGGCGAAGAAAAGCTTGGAGAGTTGAGTTAAAGGGAGATAACTGAAACATCCGGAAGAGGCATAGCATGTGAAACTAGAACAATATACCCCGGTGGACACAATAAAGGATTCAGTTCGAAATTCCAATCACCTGAAGAAGGCTGGAACGTAAATGAATATGGCAATAAAGATGAGGACAATAGTCCGAACAATGTAAATAAAACTTATCTAATTTTGTTGCTTTATATCCGTTCATCTTAGTAAGTGCCAATCTCACCACAGATCTTAATATTACAGGGGCTTTCATTTTTTCTATATTGGTAATACCTTTCCTCTGTTGACGTTGAACAATTCTAGAATGTATGAACTTCATCTTTGAAATATCTCTTCTTTTTCTACTTTAAGCGTTTCTTTTTAAATTTTCTACTTCCTGTCGAACCGCTCGTCTACTGTTCATTTTATCCATGACTGATCTGATATTTTTCATCATTAGTCCAAACGTTCTAATCATTGTGTTTTCGGTAACCACTCAAACTAGTCACTGATTCGTCGGGCAAACATGTTTAGTCAATAAAGTTATCCCTTGGATGACCTACACTCATTGTACACGAAAAAGCTATTTTCATTTATCACGCACATTCACACTCTAGGGTTGCCTTACTTTGGAACAATGACAAGTAAGCTATTATGATAAACACGAACCAGTGTGACGCGTTTTGTACTTTCTTTTAGTTACCTTACGTCTAGATTTGAGGCAAAAGTTTTACCGTTGTAGACAGCTTCGGTCGCCTCCTGTGTGACGATAATGAGTAACCAAATTTCCCGTTCTATTCTTACTGAGGACTCGCTTGAAACTCACACTACATAGTTCTAGTTTGATTGATCTTTGCTTCTTGTAGTCTTAACACTTCGAGACCTGTTTGCCTGAACAATTTTAACCCTTCTGCCTGAGCTCTTGAGTCAGAATTCGCAAATAATTGGTATGTAATGTTTCACGTCATTTTCCTCTACCACTGTTCAACCGGTGGTTGGGTATTACGTCATTTTTTTCTATCACCGGTAAAGCGGTGGTCAAAGTTCAGAGGGTTGGTTTGGTGGTCGTTGCACCGTTATTAAACAAGAGGTAAACGGCAAAGAATCCATTCTCGCGGGAAAGCCATAAAATTGAAAGGTCTGCTGACGAATTATAAGAGTCATTGAACATTGAACTATTTCCCTGTTGTCATCATGACTTTCATCATCTTCCTGTCTTCCCCCTCTCTCTCTCTCTCTCTCTCTCTCTCTCAATCTGCCTGCACGCGCGCTGGTGTGAAAGGTCATTCATTCAGAATTGATAAAAGCAACTACGGACAGTTGAAGAAAATCCTGATGAATGGAGACACCGTAGAGGTTTAAATTTTCGACATTTACTACAATCTTTACAGGTTTTCTCGTATTCTCAAAATGTGATCACTAAATCGATTTAGTATTTGGTCATTACTTTTTCCTGATTTATATAAGGAGATTGATGAGTACAACGAACTCTCTAAAAATAATTTGTACAGATATTCTACATTTATATTTCATATATATATATATATATATATATATATATATATAATGGAGCCTTACAGTGGTTTGTTTTTCATTTAAATTAAATTATTCGCTCTGACTTAACATTGAGCTCTCAGGATTTCATCCTCCTTGGGATTATCCATACGGATTACCAAGATTTTCGTTACTTAACTATATATATATATATATATATATATATATATATATATATATATATATTAAGTGATTTAAAATATAGGCTCGTTCGCTAACGTAGCGAACGAACCATATTTAAGTTAGTTAATTATATTTATAATATATATATTTATAATATATATATATATATATATATATATATGTATATATATATATATATATATATATATATATATATATTATATATATATTTATAATATTTATATATATATATAATTATATATATATATATATATTTATATTTATAATATTTATATTTTAAATTTATAATATTTATGCTCTGTAACTTTACATTGAGCACTCTTTTTGTTAAAAATAAAAATATCAATAAGAACACCGAATTATATATCTTACTGTTCTTTCTTTTTACTATAATATATATATGTATATATATATATATATATATATATATATATATATATATATATATATTAAATTCCGATCACCGAAGTTAAGCAACCTCGAGCCTGATCAATACCTAGCTGGGTGACCGCTTGGAAATACCAAGTGTTGTAAGCGTGAATATGCTGATGGTTTAATGAATAATGACTCGGAATTGTTAGTCGGTGTGCCAAGTTTCAATTCCCGTTGGGTTCGTTAAATTCACTTGCGCGTTAATATCCTTTCGTAAGTTACGAATTTACCTCTTATCCCTCCAGCTATGGGTTAATTAGTATGACTTGTATTTCTAAAACTTTATTACCTCAAAATAAATATAAAATTCTTCCAATCTGCAAAAAGTTGATAAACCATAAAAATTGAATCAACCACTATATCTTTTAACCTGGCATTATATCTTATTGCATAACATTTGATCTGTTGTAAACTGAGGCTAGAAATGACTTAAAGAAATTTTTTTTTTGCCTTTCATCAGTATGGCAGATGATAATCTCCAGATGAGTGACTTATTGTGCCTTCTAGGCCTAACGTTTCTACTGAATGATTTGCAAGGTCTGCTACACGGAAAGTTGGTTCACTGTGCTCCCATAGATCAGTTTTACTGTTTGACCGTGTATTGAATATTTGAATACCGGTGCCACGTCTAGCCTGTTTGCTTCTTCTACGTGTCTACAGATCTTTGTTGAAATCCAAAGATCAATCTGCAATCTTATTTATCCCAACACATCAATCACTTTTCCAACGCCCGCTGAAAATAACCTTCATATCAGTAAGAAATATATATATATGCGGTAATTAATTTATTAGTTATATATATGTTGTGACCAAGTAATTCCTTAAGAAATACCAAAAAAAGGGGTTGCAGATAAATCGCGTATTGAACAGTAAATACAACAAAAGTGTGTTAAACGACGTGGGAGTGTGTGTCGGTTGACAAGCGTTCAGTCTAGCACTGTTATATTTAACAGCCCTCGCCCAAAGGGGAAGTATGTGGCACAAGGCCGAGATTATCGTGGGTTCTTCGAGCCTGTAGGCTCGGTCAAAAATATTCCTTCGAACCCGCATAAACGGGTTCGGGGCCTGTCTACCGCCCCAGACGAAACTTTGCCCTTCGGCCGAGGCAGAGAGTTTGACAGTTGAACAGTCTAGCACTGTTATATTTAACGCCCCACCCCTCACGTGGGTCGTATGTGGCACAAGGCCAGTTCAGCGTGAGTTTTTCGAGCCCGTAGTCTCGGCCAAAAATATTCCCTTCGAACCCGCATAAACGGGTTCGGGGCCTGTCTACCTCCCCGGCCTTTGTGGGTAGCATGTGGCACAAGGCCAGTTCAGTTGGCTCGGCCGAAAATATAAACGGGTTCAGGGCCTGTCTACCTCCCGGGACGAAACTTTTCCCTTCGGCAAACCTTCGTCCAAATTCCTCTCTGCCTCGGCAGAATGTTTGACAGATGAACAATCTAGCACTATCCCCCACCCCACGAGGCTTACTTTCCCTACTAACTTTATAGTAAGTGGAAGAGTCCATAATAGACTCATTAAAGGGAAGACACCACAATATATTTCAACTAAGAACAACACAGGAAAATTTAGGCATTTTTTTTAGTTTTTTTTAATAATTTTGCAATTTTCTAAACTTGATCCACGGTTATATTTAGAATTTAGTATTCATAACTTTTATTTTTTAATTACATAATAACTTGGAGATTAATTAGTTATCCTGATTTCCTATATAATCTAATATGAACTTTGAAGCATTAAAAATTGTATCTAGGGTCCATTGTAGAATTATTTGAATATATATATACATATACTTGTAATTTGATTGGCCATTACATCTGACGTAAAATTATTCCTCCTAGTGGGGGTAGTGGCTGGTTTTGAACTTTTTTTACTTTCCAATCAACACCATGACTTGACAAGTCACCAGAAGTGTTGAAACAAAATGGTTAGTTATGTAGTAATGCTATAACATATTTATGTTATCATTTTTAAATAAATAGTATTCGCTTTATTTTGTATTGAACACTTTTTTTAAGATAATGTTTTTGGTTACTGGAATTTTATTCCATCTATGCCAACCTTGTATTCCGATATATTTAAACTTAGATTAAATTATATTTAAGCAGTAAGATTACGTGTACTCTCCTACTATCGCGTTGGACTCTGATCATCTTTGAGGTACAGGAATTTTAAAATAATCACGAACTTTTAGGAATACGTTATGAAAGCGTCGCCCATGTGACTACGGCGTGACCACGTTAAACGGAAAGCTGATCTTTTTAAAAATTTTCAGTTATCTGTTTTACTCTTGGATAAGACTTGTGTTTTTATGTCCATCGTTTTCGTCATATTGAACTGAATTTGTATTTTAATGAATTTTGTCTTGAAAATGGTTTATTAAAACCGAAACGTCTGACGTCGACAATTCTTTCATTTTAACTACATTTATGGATTTTGTTTGTTTTTCAAAATTTCTATATATATATATATATATATATATATATATATATATATATATATGCATTCCTGTCCACTTTCACAATACAGGAAAGTACTTGTTGACAAAACCAACATATTCAGCACGAAAATAATAAAGAAAAACTTCAAATTATTGAGGCCCTCCATATCCAAATCAACCAACACTCAACAAAATTTATTACGAGTGTAGCAGCAACGTATTGAAATGCATATAACAAATATTTAATGCCATTTTGCATTTCTACCAATTTTCTGTCAGCACTCTTATACTGGGACGCTTGTTTTGCAAAAAATTCATAGCTGCAAATTTTAAATAATTAGAGAACGCGTTCGCTTGTGTTTTATAAAAATCACCGTTACCACGGAATTCAGTTACAATAAGTTTGTCTTTGTAATTTACTCCTGAAGATGATTTTGGAAAAGATCGAAATTACACGGTTGTGAAAAAAATACGTCGCCTTTCTTGATGAAATTCATCTTAACATCAAGACACAGATTAGCCAACTGGAAATGATCAGTATAAAAATAAGTAGGCACAATATGTCTATATTATTCAATGAAACACACACATACACACACACACACACACATATATATATATATATATATATATATATATATAGAGAGAGAGAGAGAGAGAGAGAAGGAGAGATAATTAAAATCACCATCACCACAGAATTTTATCGCAGTTCTAATAAGTTTGTCATTGTAATTTAGCTCTGATGATGATCTGGGAAAAGATCGAAAGTACTTGGGTTAAAAAAAAAACTACAACGCCTTCCTTGGTAAATTTCATCTCAACATCAAGAAAATGATTAGAGAACTGGAAATGATTAGTATAAAAATAAATAGACATAATATGTCTATATTATTGAATGACACATGTGTGAATGAAGGTATGCTGCCTGAATACACACACACACATACACACATCTATCTATCTATCTATCTATCTATCTATCTATCTATCTATCTCTCTCTCTCTCTCTCTCTATATATATATATATATATATATATATATATATATATGCATAATATATATATAATTATGTTACATGGGAGATTATCTTTAGAACCTTTCTGTGGAAGATATGTGACAACCAGCCCATAATTTACCGCACGCTTAACTTTTGCATAATCACCCCGTCTCTCCTCAAAACCAACTGGTCTCTTGCCATCAAAGATGATCAGATTAGGTATCCTGCCTACCTCAAGTCGAATCTCATGGTCGCAACATCGGAGACAGTATTTCAGAATCATAGATCCAATACTGGGAGTGCAAGACCTTTCGAGGACAGCTGTATTTCGAGTATAAGACTGCTACTGGATTAATAACCGCGGAAATTTTTGATGGAAGCGTTCCAGACGTTTCTCTAAGTTGTCCAGGTCGCGCAGCCATTGTCAACACACACATTTGATACACACTGATCTTTGTTGCAATGGTGATGTCCGACTGTGGCCAGAGTCTGTCTCCAAGTTTACCGTAGGCATCGCATGAATAACTACTAATGCATCTTTCTCTCCATCAAGGGTGTTACTTCTGAAGGATGTGCTTCCTAAGTATATAAAGCCGTCAACGACTTCTAATTTCTTGCCACACACAAATATGGAAGGAGGAACATAATCTTTGCCTGGTCTCAGTTGGTATATAACTATCATTTTCCTCGAGATGATAGGCCAAACTCAGTGAAAACTGAAGAAAAACAATCCATTGGGAGTTGCATATCTGCTACAGAATGGCAAACGAGATCACAATCGTCAGCATATAGCAGATCTTTTATGAGTGTAATGAACGTTTGATTAACTGCATTAGACCGGCGGAGGTTGAACAAATTACCACTTGTACGATACCGTACGTAGACATCTACTTCAGTAGCTTTGAATTCCTTTAGAAAAACCATAGAAAAGATCACAAAAAGAGGAGGGTCGAGAAGGTCAACTTATTTTACTTCAGTTTCTACCGAAACGCTCCCCTCCCCACTCTCAGGGCAACCAAACTTCAACAGAATTGTCCATAGTGCTTCCCCCACTTTGCCTTTGTTAGGCCAATAAAACACTGATACAAGTCCAGAGGTTGCTTTTGACACCTTTCCTGCAACTGTCGTGCAGTAAAGATAATATCCATTGTCCCTCTGTTTAGTCGGAAACCACATTGAGACCCCGGGAAAACCATGGGGACAATATACTTGAACAGATGGTTGAGGAGTACTCAGTTTCCTATAATCCGAAAGAAAAGAGATCCCACGATAATTGTTACACAAATCCTTGCGGCACTTCTTGAACAGGGACACAAGAATTGTATCCCTCCAGTCTTGAGGAACCTTCCCTTTCTCCCAGATATGCTGGAAGATAAGGTGCATCAGCTTGACCATTTTCACCACCTATTTGTAAATGTTGCAGTTTTTTGTATATATATATATGTACTAGTGAGTTAGCCCAAATGACTCACTTTATAGTTCACCAATAGAAGGTTAACCAATCAGAAGAGGTAGAACATTCAATCCGTCGTGTATAAAGGCGGCCATTTTGTACCCGAATGTCCAGTCCAGCTTGTCAGGCGAAGAGGAACAGAAGGTCGAACTACGCTCTCCTACTTTTACTAAAATATCCACTGCTAACCTGATCAACGCTTTCCTTCTT